GAGGTTCAGTCCCCACCATGCTCTCCCCTGGGGCAGAGCCTGCGGGACCACCAGTGCCCTGGCCTCCTGAGATGCTGCCCTTTTCCAACTACTTTCATTTGGAAAAGAAACGAGGCTTTTGAATAGACAGATGGAAGGCCTGCTGGTCTGGGATTGTGCCCCCCGTAGACACTGTAACGCCAGGTCCCCAAAGTCAGGAAGGGTTAAAGCACACCCCCATCTCTCTCGCTCCAGCCGCCCGGCCTCCCGAAGGGCACGGCGGAGACCCCGCCGCGCTCCCTCCCTCCGCATGCTGCGTGGGGGACTGGGGTGTAACTGGAGACGTCCAGAGAGCTCGGGGAGAAGTGACGCGCTGTGGAAGCTGCGTGCTTTGTGATGTGCCTTTCTGAGAGCCGGGCCGGTGAGGCCCTTTCGCGGGCCTCCAGACACCGCCGGCTCGGCAGAGCGAGAGCGAGGCCGGGGAACCGAAAGGGGCGCAGCGTCCTTCCGGAGACGCAGACTGACGGCAGGAAATGTGCCCCTGTTAGAAGTCACAGAGTCCTGCTCAGAATTCTAACGCATTTCAGTAAACCAGCGTGGATGGTTTTCATAGTGTGCTTCGCGATTTTTTTTTCATTTTTTCCAATTTAATTGTTTGGACATGTTGAATTACTTTTTGAGAGAAAGATGCAGTTCGCCATTTGTAATGTTTCCGACCAGCCTTCGGCTCCAATGCCAGAAACCTCTATTAACCCAAGACTCAACTAGCCTTCTGGGTTCGGAATGGGGACTTCCGCAAGTTTCTTTATTTAGCGAGGCCCCGCGAAGACGACGACACTCGGTCTCGGATGTGGGTCACGTCCCCTTCTTTCTCACCTCGCCCCAGCCCGGACCAGAGCCCCCGGGTTTCGCCAGCAGGGAACCGGGAAGCCAGGCGTCCAAAGGCGGCCCGGCGGCTGAAGGGTTAAGGGAACGGCTGGAGGCAGCCGGGCGTCGGGGGCCCGCGAGCGGGGCGCGGGGGCAGGGGCGCCGCCGGGCGCGCGCGCAGACCCTCCAATAAACACAAAGGAGGGCCTGGGGAATAGAAACCCAAATCCACTTGTAATCGTACAAGAGATTCGGGCATAATTACTTGAGCGACCTAGATTAAGATTGATGAGCCTTTAAAGTGGCGCTTCAGATCGACCGCCTCGCCCTTTGGAAAGAAAAACCTGGTGGAGCGGAGGGGTCCCCAACTCCACCGGCTCCGCGGCGGAAGCCGCCCGCCGAGGAGCCGGCTCCCAGCCGGGCCTCGGGCGGGCTCCGCGCGGGGGCGAAAGCCGTAAAATGAGCGAAGGGAAAGCTGAGCGCTCGCCTGGCCGGCGGTCACGCCCGGGGGTGCAGACCGGCACCGACACTGTGGGTTTCACAGCCACCCCGCTGAGCGCGAGGGAAGCCGGCCGAGCCCGCCCGGTGCCTCCCGCGGCTGGTTCTGTGCGGAGGGCGGCGATTTCCGCGTGTGCTGGCCCCCGGGAGCGCGGTCCCTCCCGGGCCTGCGTCCCGCCGCCCCAGTGGCCCTGGCCGTGCTAGCCGCTCTCCGCGCGGAGCCGCCGCGGAGGGCCCGGCCCGAGCGCCCGCCGGGGACCCTCCTTTTCATCGCCTCCCTGCGGTCGCTGCGGCTCCTTTGACTAAATGCTTGTGATGGGGACGGTGGAGGGGACTGTCGTGCGCCCCGGCTGCGGAAGATCGCACGTTATTTCTGATTTCCTCGTCCGTGGTCTCTGACATCCAGGACAGCGAGGAATGCCTCCCCTTTGGTAATGTTTATTAAAGGAGGAGCTCAGAGGCCCTCTTTAAATTAATATTCAAATACGTGAGGGGCGTAATTTTCAACTCCAACTCAGGTGCCGGGGACTCTAAGCCAGCGCCTTCGGAAGCACAGTGTGCAAACATCTCTTGACCGCAACTCAGCCCCCGTAGTCTCAAGAGTTGAGAAATAGACCTTTCCGGACCCTTTCCTGAAAATTGTTTTGTCCACGTGTCTTACAATTTCATCACTTTTTGACTGATTCTCGGTGAGAAAAATCACTGCTACGACCCCCCACACTTTTTTTTTTTGTATAAGAAATGCAATTAATGTCCGTGTGCGCGCGCCGTAAGAATAACCTCCCTGCGGAATTTCTCTCTCTCCACCCCGTCCCGCTGCCTCACAGCCACCCGCCCAGCCCTCGGGGAACCTGCTGCGGCCACAGCGGCTCGAGGATAGCCGGTTCCTACGGGCGGGGCCGGCCGGCCGCCGGGGCTCTCGGACGGCCGGGGGCTCCTCGCGGGATCGGGCCTTCCGGAATCGGGCCTTCCGGAGTGCGTTCTGCATTTCCAAGTCGGCTGATGACAGCGCCTCACCAACCGCGTAGGATTTCTGGGAGCAGTCGCAATCCCTCTTGCTGAGGGTCGATTATCCGGTCCCCTGACCTCTTTGGTTCTCAGAGAATATTTCTCTCTAGTCTCCCGGTAAGCTAATGTGTGCACGCCAAGCAGACCTTACGGCAAATGAAAGGAAGTTTCTGTATAATACAGGCACCATTTCTTAAAATGCGTCTTCCAAATTGAAAACCCGTGGCCCTCACTGGGAGGAGGCCCGAGAGGGTCCCGGGGCCCAGCCTGACCCCGGCGCCCTTGTCTTTCAGGCCCCGTGGTCCTCAGCACGCCGGCCCAGCTCATCGCTCCCGTGGTGGTGGCCAAGGGCACCCTCTCCATCACCACGGCCGAAATCTACTTCGAGGTGGACGAAGACGACCCCGCCTTCAAGAAGATCGACACGAAAGTGAGTGCACTCGATGCGGATTCCGCGCGGGGGGCTTTGTGGCCGGAAGTGGTTTTCAGTTTTGCTGGGCTTTAAATGGCAGTGGGGGAGGGGAGCAGAGTGCGGTCTTTTCTCATGGAAAGTGAAATGAATGAAGAAATAACACACGCTTTCAGTTGTGGGGGTTTAAATCCTCTGTCTCCAGAGCAGGCCCATTTTAACAGCCTGCCTGAGTGGCTTTGTGTGCGTTTGGGCCGATTTTGTAGCTCAGCCGACTGCTCCCGACTCCCTGGGGTACAGGACCTCGGGCTCTCGGAGAAAGCCAGGAAGGGTCTTGGGAAATGTCTCACTGGGATCGCTTTTAGTTTCCAAAAGTGTAAATTGCAGTGTGAATTGTTTTTCGTGGAAAGGTTATAAGGAGGCTGCAGGCAGGGGGTACCGTGTAGATATAAACTCATTTCCATTGTTACATCCATTTTTCATCTTCTGAAATGAGAATGGGCGTTACATGTGAATTTCAGACGAAGGGAAGCTGATTCTCGGGAAGCTTTGGCTTAAAATGTGTGTGTACTCGCGCTCAGATGCTTCGAGCTGGTACTGTTCTGTGGGCGTGAGGCCAGAAAAAAAATATTTGGAGGATTTGGAGTGCATAAACATTTATTTGTTCATTAAATCTTGTGTAGGTCTCAAACCCGAGTATTTGGGACGCTTTGCACCGCCCCTCTTTTGCAATCAGTGTTACTGTTGCTTTAACCTTTATGTGACTGTGCGATCTGTAAACTTTCTTCCTGAGGTGAGAAACTCAGGAACAGAAGTGTCATGCTGGACAGTCAAGAATCAATTTAAAAACATCTCCCTTTAAAGCAGTTTTCAGAGGCAATTACTCTAAAATAGTTAAAGACAGATGCTCCCATAGATCCAGAACTTTATTCTTTATAATTCATTTTATTTATAAATAAAGCCTCATAAAATGCTATTTGTAGAATAGCAGTTGAAATTCTAAAATTTCCACCCACCTGAATGAACTAACTGTCCGGAGGCCCTAAGTGAGTAGCCCTTCTGGCACTTGTTGACGGAGAATGCTCTGAGGGCTGTTGCAGGTTTCCTTTCCCTTCCAGCTCCAGAAGAGCTGAGTTTTACAGATGAGTGCGAACACAGTGTATTTGGCTCCAAATAATTTAAAGTTTGTCTTTATGATTTTACCATCAGCTCGCCCTGTGAAATGAAAAGGAATTCTGGACTTCTGATTAATTTATTCAGCTATTTAAACACTGCCTAAAATAAGGTCTGACTTCAAACTAGTCAGAGATCATCTTCAGTTTATTGCATAGTTGGTTTTCATGCACAGATTTCAGAATTTGCATATAATTTTGTTAAGTTCATTTTCTGTGAGTTAGTCTGGTTTTTGACTCAGCAGTGTTGACTGTCCTGACATTTTTTTTCTTTATATCATCAAAGATGATGCTACAGAAATACTAACCCCAGAAGAGCATGCTCTCCTGGGTAGATTTAAATTGTGTCTGCGATGGAAAGAAATGGTCTTACAAATGAGGTAGAAACTGAGAGTCGAACCTTGTCCTCGGTAGCTCCACAAAAGCATTGTGAGTTTCATTGTTAATGGTTTTATTAACATAAGCCTCAAGATGTTTAAAATATTCAAGCGGTTCGGTTTTCAAAGTGAAGCATTACATGTCTTCATAGAAAAACAATTTAGAATGAGACAACAACTTTTATTTTATCTCTTTATTAGCTTCTAATTAAATAAAAACCAGCAACAAATTAAAATCTAAATCACAAAAGTAATTATCCAGTGTATTTCAAGTGCATTTTTCAAATATATAATTCAGATATTCAAGCGTTATTATATACGCTGAATTCAAATTTCTTTGAATATATTTAAATAACATTTCAAGTATACTTATGGAATGTTAGAAATAGAACAAGCAATATATTTGAAACAAAATGTAAACTTTTTAAAGTTCAGACACTTTCAAAGACAGATAAAAGTACCAGGAGGAAATCTACCTTTAAATGGTATCTTTGTTAGCAGAAAACGTCTGGAAGTATCCGAAGTGGCCATTTAACTTCTGTTCACCAAATCACAAAACACCAACATCCACACTTCAAAGACAAGGTGAGAGCACAATATCTGTTACACATCGAAATACACAGCACACTCTCCTTCCGAGGGCAGACCCCAGCGCGTCTGCTCGCACACGGGCGCGCCTGAGCCACCAGGGCGCTGCATCCGCTGCGGGTCAGGCAGCCTTGCCTGCGGTCTCGCCTCGGGTCGGGCTGCTCTTCCAGGGGTCGCGGTGCGCTTTTCCGGGAGCGAGGACACCTCCCGTGAGGGAGCCCCGAACACTTGGGGGCCGGGGTTCTCCTTCGTCTGCTTCCGCCGCCAGCTTCTCTCCCCGCCGAGGGGCGGCTGGACCCCGGGTCGTGCCTCCTTCCGAAGGGGGAGACGGTCCGTGCTGTCAAGCGGGGTAGTGGAGGGGATGGAACGGGAGCGCCCGCGCGATGCGGACTCCCGGCAGAGTCCCCGCGGTCCGGCCGCCGGTCGCGCTGCCCTCTAAAGTTTCTCCAAACTTTTGGGGTTGGTGAGGATCTCCCTGGCCAGCCGCCACGTCTGCTTGGCGGCGTTCTCCAGCGCCGAGTGCGGCTTGCCCTGGAACAGGTCGAGGTTGGGGAGGAAGTAGTGGGGGCAGCGCCGGCACTGCAGGCAGGAGATGAGCTGCAGCAGGATGCCGTTGAGCCGGTCGCCCAGGCAGGACTCGTCCCAGTCCGACTCGCGGGGGTGCTTCTCGCACTCGTAGGAGACCAGCGTCTTCATGTGGTAGTTGTTGAGGGGCTGGCCCGGCAGCTCCAGGTGGCGGTCCCGCAGCGTCTTGAGGATGGAGAGGCATTTCTTGCGGCAGCCGCCCATCTGCAGGCGGTTCTCGGCCTCGGCGAACTGCAGCACCCAGGCGTCGCTCTCGGCCGAGCTCTGCTTGCCGGCCAGGGAGTGGCACTCCTTGGACAGGAGGTTGAACCCCTCCGCTTTGACCTCCGCCACCCGGTTGGGTCCCGGCCAGGGGATGTGGGGGAGCGGCCAGTGGGCCGCGCTGCGCGGCCAGATCCCCGTGCACTTGAACGCCGGCGTGATCTGCACCACGTACCGATCCCGGATCCGCAGTTTCACTTCGCTGGTGTCCGCCACCATCTTCACCACGTCCCTGTAGCTGCACTTGTCCACCGCCTGAGCCACCAGCGTCTGGAACCGGGAGCGGATCTTGCGCGCGGAGAGGTAGCCCGAGGCGGTGATGAATTCCACCCACAGGGACATGCTCCTCTTGCGCCCGTCGCTCAGCTTCAGCACGGCGCAGCCGGGCAGCGAGCCGTCGTCCACGAAGTTGAACACCCCCATCTGGTTCAGGTAGAGCACCACCTCGAACTCGGTGGGCGAGATGACCTCCAGGCCCTCGTAGCGGTTGTCCATCTCGTTGAGGGAGCTGATGAAGCGGGGCTCCTGCACCTCCACCTCCTTGAGCACGTCCGACACGACTTTGCAGACCTCGCGGATGGTCTTGGCGATGGCGGCCTTCCTGGCTTGGCACTTCTCGTTGTAGTACTTGTTCAGGTGGTACACCAGCTTGGCCTGGGCCGCGATCATGTTGGGGCAGAGATCCGGGTTGTACACCGGAGTCTCACAGTAGGCCGTGGGATCCAACGCGGCTGCTGGAGCGGGAGCCAACGTCGTGCAGAAACGGCCGGCGCCCGCAGCGTCTCTGGAGCAGTCCCGGCGCGCCGCCGCGGGGGTCCGGGCGGCCGCGGTCCCCTCCCCGCCTCTGGGCTCCCGGCTGCTCTTAAAGCGGAACACCGCTCTCCCCGCCCTTTCTCTGCCTCTCCTCTTCCTCCCTGAAGAGAATCCTGGTGGGAGAGGGAGGCGTGGAGAGGTCCCCCTCTCAGCTATAAAAACAAAAGTTGCGCTGACACCCAGCAGAGCTTTTCCAGGAGTCCCAACTCGCGGCCCTCCCGTTTATTTACGCTGTCCGGGAGTCATCGTGCGTGCGGGACGGGGCTCGGGCGGAGGAGAGCGGCGCCGAGTGTGCGCCGGGTGCGTGTGCATGTGGATGTGTCAGGAGGAGCTGCTGTCGGGTTGTCTCGGAGCCCAGATGCACTCGTGTGGAAATTATAAAGGCAGGGCCAGGCAGGCTGGCGGCCAATCGCCACTGGGCTCGTCACGACAGCCTCCTTCAGCTCCAGCCCGGCTAATTAATCCCCCTGCAGGAGCGAGGCACGAACCGAGGTAGGAGGCTGCTGCCGGCAGGCGCCCACGCAGGCCACCTAGACGTTTGGGGAATCAGGAGGGATCTCTCAGCCCGGGTCGTACTTGAAGCATATTGGCGTTCCGAAGAGACTTGGCAAAGGGGTTCTCTTCGGGCTGAAAACCCAGCTTGCCTCTCCACCGCCGAGCCGCGAGTGCAGGTGTACACGGGAGTGGCCAGCCACCAGTTAGGGGACTGGGTGGGGTTTTCTGAAACGGAAGTCCCTCTCTCGCGTTGGGAGGAGGACCAGGAAGGCCTGTCGCTCCTCCGCGTCCTTCGCTGTGCAGGTCGGGGGCTGGCTCTCGTGCACGTGCAAGGCGGCGTTCTGGGGGTTCCTGTGTGTGAGGGTGACTTTTTAAAAAACGTCAGGCAGTGTTTTAGGTCTGTTTGTTCCTCATCGGCAGTGTTGAAAGGAATCTGAACATTATTGCTAAGTGTGTTAGACGTTGTCTGCCCCAGTTTAAGTTAGGGTGTTTAAAAGAGTCTTTGGGAAGCCCCTCCCCCACCCGCAGCCCCCTTTGTGCTGCGGTGGGCGCGCCGCCTTCCCACGTGGGACACGAAGTTCTGTGTGCACTCGCAGGAACATCGGAAACACCAGTGCGGTGGGGAGGTTTTAACGTGCGATCCCCGTGAGCTGTGTGTCGGGGGGGGGGGGGGGAGTCCAGGGAGGACCGCGGACATGAGACCTGCGGGCAGGGGGCCGCCCGCAGCCCGGCAGCCTCGGCCCCCGGCTTGTTCCCAGACGCGGGCTCCCCGCTCCCGGGCCCTTTGCGGTGCCTGGCGGCGGGCTTGACGTTTTATGTGCGTCTGTGTGTCTCGATTCAGGGAAAACGGTTAAGATTGTGAAAGAAAATTAATTTGCAGCCATTCAGGGTTTTTTTTAACTAGACAGCATTTGGGGGAAAATTAGAAAGAAATCAACATTTCTGAATATGGGACCTGAAAACAGGGGGGGGGACACTGACTTACATAGGACCTCGTGGAGGGGCACCGACTGTGCCCTTCCTGTGCAGGAAAGGGACCAACTGCCCCTGGGGACTGTGCCCTGCTGTTCAGTGCGGCCCAGGCAGGTCTTGAACCGCCTGCCTCCCCTGTGGACGTGGCCTCTGCCCGGCCGAGGGTGTTCCAGCCGAGCCCTCTGATCCCCGGGGGCAGGACTGTGGGCACTTTCCTCTCCCAGCCCCTTCCAGCGAGGTCTTGCTCAGGGCCCCCCGGGTTTGCTCCAGCTTCCGACGGGGGAGTGGCGGCGCACTGCACAGCGTCACAGAGCCACCCATTCTTGACTCTCGTCATCCGAGAGTGACAGTGTGGCCTGGCTTCAAACAGTGCATTAGACTGGGGGCTGGGGGCACGGGTCAGCCCGCTTCCCGGAGACGCACCCGCCCCGCGGGGGCAGGACTGGGCACCCCCCGGCGGCCCCTCCCGGCTGCTGGGCCTGCGTCTCGGGTGAACGCACCGCTACCTTCTGGCGGTTGGGAGAGGGAGCTAATCCGAGCGGAAGGCCGGCGGCCTCTGAGCTGAAGACGTGCCTGGGTCTCCGGGGAGAAGCCCCGCCGCCCTCCACCCAGCGCAGGTCTCGGCGACTCCCCGCCGGCCTCCCTCCCTGCCGCTGCGCACTCCCCTGCGGGCCTCGCCTCCGTCCGCTCCCGGTGGCGTGGGCTCTGTGTCCGAGAGCGGTCATTTCAGAGCCCCCGGGGCGTGCGGGGTTTCCCTGCGTCCGCCGAAGGCCTCGGGCCCTGCCCGCGCGCCGCTCCGCCCCGGGCCCACGTGTGCGCGGAGCCAGGCGCTCCCCGTCAGGCCGGGGTTGCTAGGCCGAGCGCTCACCCCTCGGTGTCTGGGCCACCTGCACGTACCCAGTTACGGAGGACGGGGTGCGGCTCGGGCCGCGGAGGCCCCGGGGCCGTTCGGGGGGCCGCGGCGGGCCGTCCGGGAGGGTCTGAGGCCGGGACCCGCGGGCGCCGAGCCGCCCGCCGGAGCCAGGCGCGCAGGTGGCGCGTCTTCGGGGCTCACGGTGCGGCTTCACTGGGGTAAAGCGAAGCTGGACACCCAGGCCCTTTGTGCAAACTAATTGGTGTAACGGGGGCCTTTTCACTAAGGATTTGCACTTTGAAGGAGAAAAACGGGTGGTGAGAAGAGAACTGAGAAGCTCGTTAGCCCTCCTGTGTTCCGGGGAAGTGAAGCCATCCCGTTTCAAGGACTCCGGGCGTGCTGACGGAGCGGCTTCCCGGGCGCCCACCCCCCCGGCGCCGACAGTGATTTACATAACACAGGGCCCCTCCGCCGCGAACCCAGCGCCGGGACCTCACCCCCTCACTCCGGTGCCAGAGCTGCTCGTGGCTGCGCCCTGCGACTTTCTATTGCACTGGACACGCGAGGTGGATTGCTTTCTGCCGCTGAATCTTTCCGGCGATCGCAGACGCCTCTCAACTGTTGAAGGAAGGGAGCGGCGGGCTCCTCCGAGGAGGGTGTCCGCCACCCTCCTCTTCTATTGGACCGACCTACGGAGGGAGCTGACGCAGTCCGGTGTTCGTGGGATCTCACCTCTGTCAGCCCAGGCTTGAGAGAGGGACTTGTTTTGTGGGAGGAATTGAGCTATTGTATAGTGAAACATTTTTTGAAATATCATTTGACCTGTTGAACTAATTATTTCACGTGATTATGTAATATATGGAGATAGCTTAAAATCAATTTATTTACCTGGGGGAAAACTTCATAAAACAACTCGAATGACACCAGTCTTACCTGTATTACTATTTTTGCAGGGAATGTAACCTTAAGAATCAGAGCTTGTGCGTGTCCCACCCTCAGGGTGCAAGCGTTGCGTGTTCACTGTGGGTGCTGCGCAGGCGTGTGTGACACGAGCGAATAGCACAGCGATAGCTGAGGAACACCGACCTCACTGGAGGGGGGACACCAAGAACCTCACGATTTAGTGATGGTCTCAGGTGCTTATTACATTTGAAGGGCATTTGGAACTTTAAGTTCTAACCAGTTTGACTTTTTCATTTCATTTACTTAGTGTAGGCAGCCTTGATTTAAAAGATATACACCATTTAGGAAAAAAATCTAAAGACTTCACAAGCTCACCATTATCATAAGTTTTATGTATTAACGAATATAAAACAATCAAATACTGTGATTTTTAATACGTTAAAGCATTCAGAATAACAAGGGCAAATTATTTTTCCCAACATGCTATTTCCTAGGTGATTTATCCCCATTCTATAAACCTGCTTATGTGATGGGCTGCATGAAATAATGCATAAATAGTCACCTTTTAGGTTCAAAGGAAAAGTCTATTATGTTGAGAAATGTAGGAATGCAAGGTTTCTGTTTTAAAGAAAGCACTGATTTAAATTTGAATTCCATGTTTATAAATTTCAGCAGTTGCGACCTTTCACCTGGAAAAACGCATCTGTCGGTTAGAGGGTGCACTGCACGCACATGCTAAATGCTCACAGAGATGTGTTTTGTGTTTTCTCATCATCTGCTGGCTTGACTGCTATTCTGTTCACAAGTATTCATGAGTTTAAAGTTTTATTTTTTAATATGTGCTTATTACACTGGGGAGATAAAAAGAATATGAAGTTGAGTTTATTGAATTATTTATCCCTACTGCTGGAGTGGCTTTGAAGGCTCATTGTAAGCGTCTGATTTCTGCCCCCTCCTCCTTCTTTAAAATGCACTCAGGCTATTTCATTCTGCCAGACACAATATATTTCTTTTTTTTACACCAGAGAAATTAAAGACAGATATTTGTGCAGGGCTCTCTTTATGTGTCGCATTAAATAAAGTGAAATCGAGGGGGTTTTCTGGTAACCTAACTTGATGGCATCTGCCCCTTCCTTCCTGTTGGAACGACACTGGAAACAAAGTAGCTGGAGAGCTGCAGGAGTGTCCGGGGCTCCCTAAACAGTCCCACTGTAGTGCCAGGTTTACGGTCCAGTGCAGCGGAGGGTGCAGGTCACCGCACAGTTAGACCCTGTTTTATTTCTTCAGCCAGAGCATCCAGAGAACAGCAGTGAATTCCTTAAATTGTTTCCTCAGTTCCTCACTGGAATGGCCAGGGCTGTTGCCTCAGTTTCCCTCATCCTTATAGACGCAGTCCCATAGGCAGATTTTTCGTGGGGGTGCTTTCATCTTTCCTACCGTGTTGCTGAGCGAACTTGTTGGTTGGAAAGAAAGTAACTTTGAGATTAAAACTGGAAGTGGAAGCGCACTTTACAAGAGCCGTCGCCGCCCTTAGATGTGCAGGTTTGGGGAGATGCTGGACACCCGTCTGCCCGAAGCCCTTCTTTGACAGAAGAGAAAGGCAAAGCCTGGGCTAATGACATGGCCTCAGTCCCCTGACTTCGCGTGGGGTATTTGGGCTGCATCTGTAGGCCGAGAAACTGGCGGGGAAGGGGTTGTCGACAAAAAAGTGTCCTAGCGCTCAAACTGAATGCCACCCAGGCCTCTCCACACAGGCGAGGAGGCACTGGGGCTGGTCGCTCACTGAGTGCGGGGGGGCGAGCGTGGACCCCCCCGCACCTCTCAGAAGGTCAGGGTCGTTCGTCTTCACGGACTCCAGAAGTCAGTCACTTCCTGCCGCTCCGCGTCAGCTGTATTCTCACTCGGGCGTCGCAGACACGGTCTGCCGGGGTCCGTGGGCTCGCTCGTGCGGTTCCCTGCTGGACGGACGGTGAGCCCCAGGCCTGCCTGCCCGTCCCCAGCCTGGGTTCCCGGACCCTGGCACCCGGGGCCACGTCGCTGCCCTCTCTGTCCACCGGCGTTCTGAGCACGTGCAGAAAACCACCAGAGCCTGCACCCGGTGCGTGCGCAGTAGGTCGTCCTGGACTCCACGGCGCTGGCTCCTGTCCCCACTGCGGGTCAGGCCCCTGACGACCTTCGTCCTGACCTTGAAGCGGGAGTCCGGTCTGCAGGTCCTCACCTCCAGGCGACTGCATGTGTGAATCACCTCGGCTATTTCTGTTTCACAGTTTGGCAGCTGATTTTTTTTCATGAACAAAGCAGTTCCCCTAAACTAGGATTTACTTTTTTAATGATCAGTAACTGGAGTAATAATGTAAGGATAATTACTCTAAATTAAAAAAACCACTATTACCTTTTATCATGTGTATCGCATGCAATAAAATAAATGGTTTATGGAAAGAAGGAAATTAGGTTATATATAGGAACTTCCTTTATAGTTTTTACATGTAGATACGGAGTTGACGCTGTTTATCTGAGACTATATCACATCAGTAATACTTCCTTTCCACCTACAGTATGTTCGCTATTGTAATAATGTTTTATTGTAACAATGTGTGCTATGTCTTAAAAACACGATTTTCTATATAGTGATTTGTCAAAGATAGCCGGTCAGAGGTCCTGGGCGGCAGTTCCTGCGTGCTAGTCTGCGTCTCGGCGGCTCACGGTGCCGCACGCCTCGCTGTGATCACAGCCTGCAGAGCGCGGGGCTGGCGAGACCGTGGTTCTCGTCGCAAGTTGTGGCGCCTTTGACACAGGCAGTGAGTGTAATGCTATTCTATTTTTGTGTGAATTTTTTCATTGTTTTAAGTCAAGTTTATTTGTGTATAACTTGCATATGTTAGTGTTCTGTGATTTTTTTCCCGTA